TCTCTAACCCCCAAACATTGACAAAATTCCCCAAATCTCTAACCCCCAAACATTGACAAAATTCCCCAAATCTCTAACCCCCAAACATTGACAAAATTCCCCAAATCTCTAACCCCCCAAACATTGACAAAATTCCCCAAATCTCTAAAACAACACACACACATCATCACATACACTCACAACATTAACAAAATTCCCCAAATCTCTAAAACAACACACACACACACACACCCAATGTTGACAAAATTCCCCAAATCGTCCCCAGTGCCGGTAGCGACGAGCAGCCACGAGGCTGAGGAAATCCCCATCGTGACCAAACTGGACGACACGGAGCAGCTGCCGGCAGAGGCCTCCATCCCGCCGGTGGTCATCAAGCTGGAGAGCCAGGAGGGCGACAACGAGGTTGTCGTGACCGCCGAGCCCGCTGCAAGGGGACAGCACTCTTCAAGGCTGGTGTGTGAGTACAGGCCCCTGCACCAGTATCTGCAGCTGATGTCTGCGAGCTGCGCCTCGTGCTCCGTGTCAACGGTGACCTCTGACCTTATGTGTCAACGTGAAAAAGTGAGTGAGCACGTTGGGGAATAGGACATCGCATTTCTGTCCCCTCTAGTTTATTTTCACCATCTTTTGTAATTGTCTAGTATTTTCTGTTTTCTTTAGTTTATTTTCATCATCTTTTGTAATTATCTTGTATTTTCTGTGTCCTCTAGTTTATTTTCACCATCTTTTGTAATTGTCTAGTATTTTCAACTATAAAGGAGTTGTTGACCATACGTGGCCTTTTAAAACCCTAATTCTTGTTGTTATTGAGATGTTCTTTGTGGGTTGTTTGTGGGTGCTCTGGTGTGGCTTGCTACTTCTTACTATCAAACATTGATCATTCCTATCTCTCCTCCTTCTTTTTTATGCTTGTTATTTCCAACACTTGAATTAAAAAAAACCAAGCTTAAATAAATCATCTATTCTTTGGCTTAAATATGACCTTGTTATTTTGCAAGAGCCATAAACTCTTGCGAAAGCAAGATGTTCTTTTTTTTGGTCAGAATTCCCCCTTTTTATTGAAACTATCTTAACCTATTGCAATTGTTTTGTTTTTTTATTTCTGCAGTATATTTGCCATGGGATGTACTCTTCTGTTGCGTGGCATGAAGATTTTTTTTCTTTTAAGGTCTAAAACATGGATTCAGGGGTAGTGTAAAAGGGGACCATTTACATTGTAGAGAAAACTTTTTATATAATTTGTTTTAGAGCTCGATCCCCTGCCACTTATGATGGGACACTGCTTACTGTGTCTTGCTGGTGTTGGTAGTGTGGCAGTGTAGTGGGCCGTTCCCAAAGGGGGACATTAATATGTTCTTATGCACAGTAGAATGATAAATTGTAAATGGGCTGACTGATCAATGCCATGCTCATAACTGTGCCTGAACTGCAACAGGGAACTGCTGCTTTTTCTCTCCTAATCCTTACTATCGTCATGTTTCCTCTACTTCTTTTGTATGTTTGTCACACTCTTGTGACCCCTGTTTTCGGGGTGCCTTGATAGTCGAAACAGACTTTGTGCTGTTGAAACTAGAGAGGTGAGCAGAGTAAGCCCAATTCCCTATAAGGATTTCTGTGTTGACATCCTCCCCTTGGCACTCATATGACCTAAACTAAACAGCAGTGTGGTGGTTAGGCTGCTGGAGTCATAATTGTTAGATTAAAGGTTCAAGGCGTAGCTCATTCCTATTTTGTGTCCTTGGGAAAAGCACTTCACACAAATATTTCCATTTGACTCAGTCATATAGGAGATGGACATTGAATTTGGAGGTCCCGCCTCAAACAGGGATGCAAGGGGCATAATACCTATACAATTGTGCACTGTGGTGCTAAAGTGTGTCTTGATGTTGCTAAAGTGTGTCTTGATGTTGCTAAAGTGTGTCTTGATGTTGCTAAAGTGTGTCTTGATGTTGCTAAAGTGTGTCTTGATGTTGCTAAAGTGTGTCTTGATGTAACCAAAACCTAGCAAAATGACTTCAGTTTCTCACTCTTCTGTGGCAGATATAAGAAGGATATTCCTCATGCTCTAACAGTATTGACGTACTTCATCTTTTTCTCCTTCAGGATCGACGTACTCTGGTGCCAGACATCGTCCATGTGGACAGTTCTCAACACACGCCCAAGTCTCCTGTCAGTTTGATTGAGGAAAAGGAGGAGCAGACGGTGAAGGATACCCAAGTATCTTCTCCTGAAAGCGAGAAAATGGGACAAAGTAAGCACACATCAGCTCCGCCAGACCTACCGCCAAAAGAGCAAGTCGTTGGAGATAAAGAAAAAGCAGTTTCCAAAAACTCGGAGCCCGAGTTGCCAAAGTCTTCTGCAGAGGACTCCACTTTGAGTGTGTCGGAGGGCTCGGAAATTTCGTCTCAGCCCCAAATGTCAGCCGCTCCGACAGATTCGGGCACACTTCCTCTTCAGTCTCCGTCTCAGCAGCAAGAGCAGCTGCAGCAGACGAAGCAAAGTAGCACAGAAGAGCTGTCTTCGTCACAGTCGACCAGTTTTACGTTTGATGACGTTTCTAGCACTCGTTCCGAGACGCTGGAGCCAAGCTCTCTCTCGAGTCATGCTGACCTTGAGCGGGGAGCGGCCTCGGTGGTGACCCCTAACCTTGACATTGAGCAGTCGCGTGTGGTTCAGCAAGAGGCCACGGATATCACAGACTCGCTGTTCCTGAAGGTAGGCTGGGGATCTCTTCGTCTCTCTCTCTCTCTGTCTGTGTTTCTCTCTCTTTCTCTTTGTCTCTCTGTATATGTCTCTCCTACTTTGCATGTCTCTCTCTGTATCTCACTCTCTCTTTCTCTTTTTCTCTAGCTCTGACTCTCTCTCTCTCTTTCTCTCTCTCTCTCTCTCTCTCTCTCTCTCTCTCTCTCTCTCTCTCTATTTTATACCACCAAGGGATCTTTAATGTGCGCAACTTGCACACGGGCCCTCCGAGATTTTTCGCCCTTGTCCGAGAAGGCTAGGTGTAGATCTTTCCTACCAGAAGATCAGGGGTGTGGCAGAAAGACAGCAGTAAGGAGGAGCCAAGGAGTAGCAGTAGAAAGGCTGCAGAAAGAGTCAGGAGCCCAGATGAGGGGGCAAAGGGGGTGGGGGCAGAAAGTGGAAATGAAAGCAGACAACAGAACATTGCTAGAGAGCAGGAAAGGAGGTGAAAGGAGACAATTTTAGAGAAGAAAATTTTTCGGTCGCTACCCGGATTCGAACCCGGGACCTGTGGTTTTAATTCTGCAAGAGCATTATTGAGTACTTTTAGTGTATTTTAGGAGCTATAAAGACTGATTGATTATTATTTGTGAGGTGTGCTGACAAATTTAGTTATTTCTGGCAATCCCCAAATAGACATAGTGGCCAAAAATCGACACAAGGATTAAATTTGCAGATTTACTATTGATGCCATATTTTCTAAGTATAACATGCCTTTAGTTTTGTAATTTCTTAATTATAAATTGTAAGAACTTCCCCAATAAGCATAATGTGTCTATTTCCTTTGGGCTCGAATCTGAGAAGCAACTCATTTTGTCAGCACGCTTCACATTCATTATTATTATACACCTTACAAGATACAGTAGTGTAAGTCCCTGGGACTGTAAAGGTAGATGGGAATGAGTGTATATTAAAGGTCAAGGGATTTATTGTGAAGTTGTGGGAGCTTCCTGAGTTTTTCGTAAATTTTAAAAACTCTTTCACAGTTTTACTTTGAACCTGTGGGTGGTTAGAGGGCACCACTGATAGGTCCTACTCCTTTACTTTCCTTCTGTTGTTTCTGTCTTTCTGTCTTACTTGTTCCCAGGACCATTATTGTGTCAATTGTGTAAATGTGCATCTCTTTGCGGAAACAAACAAAACAAATATTCTGAAGCCAGTGGGTGGTTGACGGGTGCTCTGATGTGGTTTGCCCCTTCTTTCCTATCAGACATCTGTCATCCTTATCTCTCCTCCTTCTATTTTGTGTTTGTTACTCTCTTGTAACACCTCTAATCTTCGGCACCCATATGACCTTATTAATTTGCAAGTGCCATAAAACTTTTATTTAAACTAAAAATCTAAAGCCAACAAAAGTTCTGGAGGAGGACTGAACAACGTTGTATGTTTCAGGTGGCCCCGTCCCCCACGGTGCTCTCCGAAGACTCTCAGGACGAGATGGGGCTCCCCGTGCCGGAGACACCGTCATCCTCGGAGAGACACCAGCAAGCTCCAGGCACAGAGGAAGACCAGCCGGGAGAGAAGCCGGCAGAGAAGCCAGTGGTGGCCGCTCACGATTCTCCGGAACCCAGTGCGGAGAAGGCAGGGGCGTCGACGCCAGAGCTTCCTTCCCAGGACAACGCTGGCGCTGGTGGTGGTGGTCAACAACCGACGGCGCCCTCTACCGGCCAGTCGGTGAATGCGACGGGTGGTCAGGCGGTACCCAGTGGTGCCCAGAAACCCAGTAGTCCGTCGAAGAAAGGTGTGGATTTGATCAAGGTTGGGATGGCGTCCAATTCGAAGCGAGACATGTCCATCATGAAACTGAGCAGTCGTATTGTGGCTCTGGAGCAGAATGTCTCCATGACCAAGAGGTGAGAGGGCTGTGCTGTGTCTTTGTGTGTGTGTGTGTGTGTGTGTGTGTGCGTTTGTGTGTGTGTGTGTGTGTGTGCATGCTTGTATGTATGTATTTGTTTGTGGGATCCTTCTCTCCC